AAAAAACACCTGAAGGACTCCAGGATGGTGAGAAATAAGATTCTCTGGTCTGATGAGTCCAAGATAGAACTTTTTGGCCTTAATTCTAAGTGGTATGTGTGGAGAAAACCAGGCCCTGCTCATTACCTGTCCAATACAGTCCCAACAGTGAAGCATGGTGGTGGCAGCATCATGCTGTGGGGTGTTTTTCAGCTGCAGGGACAGGACGACTGGTTGCAATTGAGGGAAAGATGAATGCGGCCAAGCACAGGGATATTCTGGACGAAAACCTTCTCCAGAGTGCTCGGGACCTCAGACTGGGCCGAAGGTTTATCTTCCAACAAGACAATGACCCTAAGCACACAGCTAAAATAACGAAGGAGTGGCTTCAGAACAACTCTGTGACTGTTCTTGAATGGCCCAGCCAGAGCCCTGACTTAAACCCAATTGAGCATCTCTGGAGAGACCTAAAAATGGCTGTCCACCAACGTTTACCATCCAACCTGACAGAACTGGAGAGGATCTGCAAGGAGGAATGGCAGAGGATCCCCAAATCCAGGTGTGAAAAACTTGTATGCATCTTTCCCAAAAGACTCATGGCTGTATTAGATCAAAAGGGTGCTTCTACTAAATACTGAGCAAAGGGTCTGAATACTTAGGACCATGTGATATTTCAGTTTTTCTTTTTTAATAAATCTGCAAAAATGTCAACAATTCTGTGTTTTTCTGTCAATATGGGGTGCTGTGTGTACATTGAGGAATAAAAATTAACTTAAATGATTTTAGCAAATGGCTGCAATATAACAAAGAGTGAAAAATGTAAGGGGGTCTGAATACTTTCCGTACCCACTGTATATATCATATGTACACACACACACACTTTGCATTATTATTTTCATTATTCTTTTTTTAAATACGTCATTAAAATCTAAACATTACAGGAATGAGAGGTAGTAAGTATAACACAAGTTAGCTACATATAATATGGATTTTCACATGTGCATTTCATGTTTTAACAGGAGTGGTCACCAGAAGCAAACCGATCCATCAGTCGAAGAGAAAGAAACAGTCATTCTGATGACGTGGTCACTCTGACTAATATTGTCTCAGCAGGAGACGAACCCCCGAAGACTCCACAGGAAACTACAAGGTACATCTGACTACTGCATGCTCATATGCTCACAAAGAAATATTAGTGTATTTTAGAAATATTTTTGCATTGAAATGTAAAAAAGTGAATTTGATTTAAAAAATAAATATAAAATAATTGTAAAAATGTAAAATGTTGTTAATTTTTTAAAAAATGAATAGTTTACCCTCAGTCAAGTTTAGTTTTTGGAACTTTAAATTGAACATTTTGGCCACATTTTACAGTTCACTTCTGTGTGAAAAAAGTTGATTAAAATGGTGACAAGTGAGATTTTAGCAATTATAGCAATTAGTCTTACAAATGCATATTTTTTTTATTGCTGATACTGATCTGGAGAGCAGAGTGCTTGATGGCCATTATAGTGACTATATATAATACAATTTAATGATACCAAATAAGGTGCACACAAAATTGGTGCAACATGAACACACTATTTCCTTAAAATTCACGCAAGAATATAAAAAAATATATATATTTGTCAACCACCCAAATATATATACACAGATTGAGTTTCATATTCTGCTACATTGACAGTCCAACTTTTAATTGCAGTGTTGTATTTAGAAGTGGAGGGTTGTTATTGTTTTGTTTTTTAATTATCCTGGCAACAGTTCTTCCCTGAGGACTTCACTCACTGCTTTTAGTACCAGCTACACCAATTAGCACATTCAGACTCTGTGTGTGTGTGTGTGTGTGTGTGTGTGTGTGTGTGTGTGTGTGTGTGAGAGAGTGTTAGGGTAGCATGTTAACATAGGATCAAAGGAGGTCAAAGGTATTAGCTAAATGAAGTGCCTGGAAAGAACTGAGAAGGTCTGGTACAGATATTATATGGCGCTTTTCCACTGCGTGGTACGACTTGGCTCGGGACGGCTCAGTACGGCACGGCACGGTTCGGCTCGGCACGGTTTGCGTTTCAGTACCGCTTTACAGTGAGCGGGTTTATTCACATGTTGTTATAGTTGCACCGCCTCTACTACCACGACTCCTAAAAAACCGTTTTCATTCCCCATCGCCCTATCAAGCTCTGGCTGGATCCGCTCCTCTGCTATCAACGAGAGGAACGTCTGTTCTTCTGCAACAGACAACAACACTTTTTGGTTGTTAAAAAAAGGTGCGCTCGTTCAAAACAGTTGCGAGTTTACACGTCATGTTTTGGTAACGGTACGGTTCACTTGGAACCCCAACCGAGGTGGTACTAAAAAAAGTACCAGGTACTGTACCCAGTGGAAAACCCCCAAAAAGTGAACCGTACCGAGCCGTACCATGCAGTGGAAAAGCGCCATTAGATGGCTCATGTTTGTGTGGTGTATCTGAATCTCTCTCACAGGGAACAGGGGCACACAGGAGAATGCCTGTTAAATTGCAGTATTAAATGTGGCTCTCTGCAGCTTCCTGCTTATTAGTCTGGTCTCTGTTGACTCTTAATCCCACAGGTGGCTTGAGGCGGATGGCTATTACGAGAACCTAAGCGGTTATGCACCTGGAGTGTCAGTGCAACTTTTTTTTCTTGACCTCCTCTCTCGGAGTACAGACAACAGCTCTGTTCTAAAACCTAGTTAGCAGCCTACCTAGACAGTATTTTAAGGAATCATGGATGCACTCCTGACACAAAGGTTGTTACAAAAGTGGGTATTATGCAGTAGTGATATGCTGAAATTCCAGCTATTGAAAAATTTCGGCAAGAAAAGGCCAAAATGGTTCTGGAGGGCCAAAATCATTGACCAAAACGGTGACATTTAATTAGTGTTTCTCAGGTTGTGCCTTTTGACTGGATCAATGGCTATTTTGTGAACACAACATGGATAAGCTACAACAGATAAATGGGTCAATTATGTGAACAAAACTTCTAAGTTAGTCATTTTAGAGGTTCCATTTACTGTAGGTTAGAATATTGTCTTAGAAGACAGCTGCCAATGTAGGCAGCAAATAGCAAGGTAGCTCACTAGGTTGTGGAACAGAGCTAAGCAGATTTTCAAAACAAGAACATTTTTAGATTTATCAGCATTTTGTAGTTTATATAGTATTGCTGCTATTAAGATGAATCAAATGAACCTATTTGATCCCAGTCCCTTGTGAGAGCCAGTCATTGGTTCCAAGCTAAAAATCGTTCAGAGCAGTATGCGTAAATCAAGTTTTTAACAATTACACTTTTTATTTGCTTTTTGCAGTTTCCTCTTTAAAAAAAATCAATATGAATCCTCATTTCTAGTGCTGCTTTATTCTATTTTTCTTTGAGTAAATATTGAAGGAATGTTCCGGGTTCAGTACAAGTTGGGCTTTATTGACAGCATCTGTGGGGCGAGACTGACAATACTTTCAAAAGTATGTTGCATGTGCACAGCATGCCACGGATACAAATTTAATCAAATTTAATTCCTTCAATAGATTTGAAACATTTCAAATGTTTTTAGCTGAACTATCACAGATCACCTGATTACCAAGTTGATTTTTGGAGTAAAATCTCCCATCTTCTATTAAAATGATTCATCCATGAATTTGTTCAGTTTTATAAGTCCTCTTCTGTTCACACAGGGTGGGTAAAGACTACTCCTCAGACTGGTCTGATGAAGAAAGCCCCAAAAAATACATCGCAGCCAACGGGGTGGACGAGGAGGAGAAGGTAGTCGGGGTTCGCGTTAGAGCGCTGTATGATTACACTGGGCAGGAGGCTGATGAGCTGGGCTTTAAAGCAGGTATTAATCCCTACTAATGCTTATTAATGCCACACACATGAACATACACATGGCTGTCGAACCCCTTTTCTTTGTTCTTTCAATGCCTTGCTGTGCATGGTAGTGCATTTATTTCAAAAGGCATTGTGGAAAGGATCAAATTAAATGGGGTTTGTTAATCTAAGCATGTGCGCATGTGTGTGTGTGAATAAACCGTAAATGACACGTTACATGGGTTTATTTGAGACTGCTTCCTCACATTTTGACAAACCATGAAACCGCTTCAGAACTAGTGAACTGGCAAAAAAAAAAAACAGGATCCACCTGGAGGGTTTTTGAATAAGCATGCATGCCTTAAATATCATATTATGCTTAAAGGATTCATTCAGGTTATTTATGAGCCCTGTTACCCAAGAAAGTGCCTAAATTCAACATGTCAGGCAACACTTCTAACAAAACATGCAATAGCAGACATGCCAAGAGTGACACCTGGTGGTCATATACTGAAGGGTTTTTTCCCCCCACTCAAGTAAAGTAGATTTAAAGGGGTCATATGATGCGATTTCAAGTTTTCCTTTCTCTTTGGAGTAGTGTTGTCACAGTACCAAAATTTCAGTATTCGGTACCAATACCAGTTAAAATCCATGGTTCTCGGTACCAATTACGGTACCAAAGCAAAACACAAAAACTTGCTAATTAAAAAATGTGACTATACTTTCATTTAATCCAAACGGTGTACGTATTTAATTTTAAAGGGCTTTTGAAAACCTTCTAGAGTTATTCAGCCAAGAATAACAACTAAGTTAGCTAAAAACAAACAACAACAAAAAGCCCAGAACTGCTTTTCTGACTGATATGACACAAACAATGTTTACCATATGTGCATTCTCTAACACGCATATTTTAGAATTTAAAAGCCTCTGGTGTGTAAAAATAGTAAATATCATCCTCCTGTTTTTTTACCCTAATAAAAGTTATAGGAGCATTAAATAGTTAATAAAGAAACTTCTTTCTAATGTTCATTATAGTAGCGTTAGCCGTGCTTATGCTAACGATTAACTACTCTAATAACAGCGTTCATTTCTATCCGACATTCAAATTAAAATATTGAATAATATTCATTACAGAAGCAGTGTTTCCCCACACACTTGCACTCTATTTGTGGCGGCATATATATGCAAATTCATTCTCTGCCAGCAGGAGGCGCTTGTAGAGCAGGAGAGATTGAGGTTTCCCCAGTAACAGCTGTAATCAAATAAGCGCTGAGCTCACAAACGGCGCTGCTTTATCAATTTTCTGAAGACCGTCGGTTTCCTTCAGAAATACAGTGATATAAAAACACCCGCACCGGGTTTCGACTTTGACACGTGCAGTGCTCAACCTTTTGGAAAAGCTATTTGTGGCGGTCAGTTTTGATATTGTGGCGGGCCGCCACAAATAAATCAATGTATGGGAAACACTAAATTAAAATGAAACTTACCTGCTTGAACTCTTTCATTTGATCTGGGTGTCTTTAAAGTGTTTTGTTAGATTGATGTGTTTCCTCCTTTTGAGGTCGCCACGTCTCAGTGCTTTTATGGATAGCGCATCAAGAACCGGGTTGACCGGTACCACCGGTACTTAAAACAAACCTGGTACCATAACGTTTTCATTTTTTTTGTACCGACTTGGTACCGAAGTACCTGGTCTTTTGACAACATCCCTAAAGTTGTAAAGACTAAAGTCTCAAACCGAAAGAGATATTCTTTATAAAAGTTAAGACTCGTCCACGCCCTCCTAAAACGCCTCGTTTAAACACGCCCCCACATGTCTACATCACTGTGTGGGAAGATTTGCATAACACTGCCCAAATGTTCACGCAAAGAAAGAAGCTGTAACTTTTATTCTCGCTGTAGTATTGTTGTTGCCGTCACCGCCGTATCGTGGAGACGCTGTGTTTCGTTGTGAAAGCGAAACTACTTTGTTTGGTCTTCCAAAAGAGGACACAACTAGAAATCAGTGGTTAAGTTGTATTTACAACACTGTTCCAGAACACTTCAACCCAAATATTTAGATGTGTGCAACGCATTTTACGGAGGACGAGGACTGTTTCCTGGGAGAGTAGCCTACAATGCTGGTGTTCCGGTGAATTCAGTTCCCCTGTTTCTCCTTCGGCGCGCATGCTGACCACAGTCTATGATGCTGACAAATAATGCTGACTCACAGCCTGTAAGTACGTTTTCTTATTTAAAGGATTTGCTACTGACGATTCAAACGTGAGTTTTGAGCAGTGTAGAGTAGCGCTTGGTGTTTGTCGTTTCTCCGATCACAAATGCAGACATGGTTTTATGTTTACACGGCACGATGCAACGTAACGTGTAAAAAGACAGTATAAGTCATTATAACCAGTAATTATGTCTCCACTGGATGCAACAAATGCCTCGTTTATAATGGGTTTTAATGTTTTTGTCTCGTCGCTCCGGCCGGACACGGCATCACAGTATGGTGAGGGGCGTAACATTTCTGTCACACGCTTGAGGTATTCGGCCAATCACAACGCACTGGATAGCTGGCCAATCAGACCACACCTCGCTTTTTGGACCGATGAGCTTTGTAAAAATCGACGTGTTTCAGAAAGACGGGGCATAGAGGAGCAACAATAATGTACAGTATGTGGAAAATAATGTGTTTTTTTAACCTTAAACTGCATAAACACATTTCATTACATAAAATAATACACAAAATAATGTTATTTTTAGCAACGTCATATGACCCCTTTAAAGGTGTACTCAGTATTTGTGTTTGTTGCACAGTCATCTTGGATTTATACTGACACCTTGTGGTGTGGCTGTAGCATGATGCTAAAGCTAATGTTGTCAGTTACCAATGCCCTTGTGGAATCTACTGCAAGTGTATATAATTATAAACATATTTTTCAGAAGTATTATTTCTTTCTTCTGTGAGAAACTTTCTTTAATGAAAGAAAAACACAGGTTCCTACAAGAACTACAAATGGTTCACTTTAGAAAATGGATTTTCGAAAGTTTATTGAATTATGTTTTGCAAAAAACTTCTACATTTCTCATTTAATTCAATGTTACTAGTCGTTTCTTTGTAATTATTTGTGAAATTTGCTATCAGTTTCAGAGTGAACATTTTTTCAAAGTAAATCCCACGTTTTATTTTTTTTCAGTGTTCCTCCAGCAAACCTTCATAAGGGAATGCGTTTTTGAGGCAGTTGAATATTACAGTTCTCTGAATACACACTGGTATATTTTAGGCTTTTTTTATTTTTAAGAGTCTAGGTACATAGAGACAAATTGAGCCTGAAACCTGGTTTATGCTCGATGTGTCTGTACAGGCACGAGGGTGTGTGAAACAAAAAAGTGACGACACTGCAGCTCTTGTGAAACTGCATGTTGACTCTGCAAAGCTGGTTCACTGCTGGGTTTTTATTAATGACTAGTTTTATATTATCCTATGCATACGTCTAATTGAAAAGTAAAGCATGGTATTATGAAATATATATTTGTGTCGTACAGGTGAAGAGTTAATGAAGCTGGGTGAGGAGGACGAGCAGGGCTGGTGTAAAGGACAGCTGGTCAGCGGAGAAATAGGCCTCTACCCTGCTAACTACGTTCAAGTCATCACATCTTGATCACCCGCTTCGCCCTGGATGAGACCCACACCTTCACTGTGGCAGCTGTAAGGTCACGTCACACTGAACTACAGCAGTTGTGTCCAATACACAGTCATGCAACTGCATGATGGATTGAATGCCACGATACTCGAGGAGATTCAGAGAGGAGTGCGCAGTTCAGTGTTTTCTTTTTTCTTTTCACTGACACACTAGAGAACTTTAAGAATAGTTAGTCCCGCTTTGCCCTTGTGGTTATTGAAAGATCAGTGCCTTTATTATAAAATGCCACAGACATTCACAACACGGCTATTAATGCAGCACACGGCTGAATGGACACATTGTTTGTCTGAATCATTTTGTTCACAGGAAGACGTGCGAGTCGCCACTGTTGGATTGTTTTGATAGATAATCATTGCAGTCCTCTTGTTTTAGTATTTCACATTTCAGTTACATATCAGAATCATTTCAAGTATTTGATCAAATCTACGCTGACTTTCTATATTCAGGTTTTGCGAATCTTTCATGAGAAGCGTGTTAGTGTGTTGATATATTTTGTGTAATATGTTAGATCGTTCTAGTTAAACTGAACATTTCTTTGGTTGTAGTTCAGAATTGAAGGATTCTTCATTGTGTATTTACCTATGTTTTCACAAAAGATATATGGATTTATAATATACAAATTGTCACTGGGCAGATGCTCTTACTAGTCGCCCTTTTGGAATCGTGATTCTAGGATTCTTGTCAAGGGATCCCCGGATCCGATCACAAATGCAGGATAGGAGATTCTAAAATCTTGTTGATGGGACTGTTTTACTTTTTTTAATTTATCTTTTTTGTTTTTATTTGGAGCGCACGAAAGTTTCTGATGTCAAATGATATAAAGTGTGAGAGAAAGGGCAAAACCTCTGGGCTTCTTGTGGGCTTGTAAAAGTGAATGTGTGAGTGCTCATGGGAAATGTTTCCATTTCCACATGCTCTGCCTCCAGTGTGCCCCACTGTGAACATGGTTTTACATGAAACTACTGTAACAGCCAATACTAATCAATGTAAAAATACCGAATAAAAGCGAATAAGATTCTTATCGTCCTATGGTGGCTGTGATGCTGCTTAAACATGAAGTTTTACATTTTTGTTTAAAATTAACAGTCTTAAATGATTACATTAAAGTTGTTTGGAGGGGTTTTGTGGTTTGTAAGGTGAGGCCAGGACAGTTTACAACAAATGAGGTGTATCCTGCTGCCACATACTGAAGCATTCTGTTAATTTGGTTCTCCTCAGGTTTATGAGATATTACATACATTTTTGTTTTCTTATAAAGTTGAAAATATTTTTCATGAATTAAATATCAGGAAATTACTGGGTAGCTGACATGACATTTCAAGTAGTCATGCAATAAAATAAAAATTGTTACATTTAAATTTTTTTAATCTTTTATAATTATTATATATACACTCTAAAAAATGCTGGGTTAAATGCAACCCAGTGCTGGGTAAAATAGGGACAAACCCAGCAATTGGGTTGTTTTGACCCAGCGGTTGGGTTACTACCCAGAAGGTTGTGTTAAACATTTAACCCAACCGCTGGGTTAAAACAGCCCAATTGCTGGGTTTGTCCCTATTTTACCCAGCACTGGGTTGTATTTAACCCAGCATTTTTTAGAGTGTACAGTTTTTATGACCTCGTATATATTGGGTCCACTTCAAGAAGTATTTGTACTGCAAGAAGAAGAAAAAAAGCTAAAAGGTGATTTATCATTGTACAAAACCGTAGATGATGATACAAAAATATATCATAAATATATATTTTAACACGAAAATAGTTGAACTCAAACACTATTGCACTGAATATTTTGTGGCTTTTTAGAGATCTGAGCAGATTTATTATTAAAAGTATTGCAATTCTGGAAATTTACTGGAGATCTGCATTGCTGTACACGTGCATAGATGTACACACTGACAAAAAAAACAGCAAATAGATGAATTATAAAGCAGCAACATCAAATCTAAGCATCAAGAACTGTTACATGAGCTCAACTGTTCTAACTGACCTGGGTTGTGTTTCCCAAAAGCATCACAAAGCTAAACGCCGAATGAATTATTGCCCCCATTTGCAGTCTGGAGGAATTGAGTCAGAGCCAGTCTGAAGATTTTGGACAGTCTGAGTTGATAGATTTCACTGAAAATCATGTAGTCACAGTGTTTCATTTTAGCTGTAGCTTATGAATCTGTCTGGTCGGACAACATTAAACATGAAATTCCGAGCCTATTTTAAAACAATTGTTTTCATTTGTTGTGTCTCTCAGCAATGACTTATGCTTTTGTGTGAGTTTGTGTTATTTAGTATATGATGCCCAGTTTTTCTTATAACCATTTGCAATGTCTGCAAATGAATGATACCTAGTTTTAATATTGGTTCAGGTATTAAAAATCGTGTAGTGCCATCCAGCCTTTAAGTAGAAACCATTGGCACCAGTGGTCTCTATACAAGCCATGTAGGCTGCTTTTGGGAAACTCAACCTATACAACCGGTGTAGGACAAAGCAGAGGACTCAAAATAAACTGTTCCCAAATGATGAGAAGACATGTCAGGTGACTGAAACACGTTGAGGGTGAGTACTGAACTTTGCTTGGACAGCCTATTTGTACAATATTTAAAAATCGTAGGATTTAGATGGAACAACCTGGGTAAATGTAGTGGCTGAGCATTTCTATACCGTGAAGTATAGAATAAGTCAAAGTTATGACTCAAAATATGCTTCATCAAACAGTTGAAAGGCCTGTTATGAGGCACATTGTTCAATCATACATCATAGTCCCTTTATTCCTTTGTAAATGTGGTACATCCTTTGACAAAATCAGTAAATACAAGAACAGTGTTGTGTTATGAGTGTGTTCTGTAAAAACTGAAAAATCCTTCTGCTTTGCAAGAGTGAATGAGAACTGTCTATTAAGACACTTATTCAAAGAATTTCCTTTTCTTGCAATTTCATGTAAAATATATGATCTAAAGCAATATTTACGTGTACAATTAATTCAGAAAGATCTGTAGACACTTGGATATAGATTTATCGGCCAACATATCGGTTATCGGCTTTCAAAAATAAAGAATAATCGGTTATCGGTATCGGCCAAAATTTTCATATCGGTGCATCCCTAATTTAATTCAGTTCATTTGCACTTCGAAAAGAAATTCACATTATTAACCCCAAAGTTCTGTTGTTTTATAATAGAACAGTTGTTATTTTTTCAGTGTGCATCAAGGTCTTTGAGGTTTTTCTCCACAAGATCAGCGGTGAGGTTCTGTTTGCAGTCCCGGAGAGCTTTGATGAGATCCTCTACTCTGGTGTTTTCTTTCTTCATCTTCATCCACTGTCTGATGAGCTCCCTCACCTGCTCCTCCAGGTCACGGCTGTGCTTCTCCTGTATGCCTTCCAGCTGAGTGTGATTAAGTCCAAGTTTTCTTCCAAATTGAAGCCACTTTCTACCCGAATGTTCAACAATTACTTCAGTTGCAATGTTTATTTTTTCTAAAAAAAAGAAAAGGAGAGATACAAAAAGCGTTTGAATTCGATTAGAATCTGAATAAAACTGAAAATCGGTTTTCTGCAGGGCCACTAGTTTTACAACATGATTTGGACTTCAGTTACTGTATTTGTAACACTTACCTGCTCCTCCAGGTCACGGCTGTGCTTCTCCTGTATGCCTTCCAGCTGAGTGTGATTAAGTCCAAGTTTTCTTCCAAATTGAAGCCACTTTCTACCCGAATGTTCAACAATTACTTCAGTTGCAATGTTTATTTTTTCTAAAAAAAGAAAAGGAGAGATACAAAAAGCGTTTGAATTCGATTAGAATCTGAATAAAACTGAAAATCGGTTTTCTGCAGGGCCACTAGTTTTACAACATGATTTGGACTTCAGTTACTGTATTTGTAACACTTAAAGTGTTAGTTCACCCAAAAATGAAAATTCTCATTAATTACTCACCCTCATGTCGTTCCAAACCCGTAAGACCTTCGTTCATCTTCGGAACACAAATTAAGATATTTTTGATGAAATCTGAGGTCTCGCGTCATGATACTGTCATGAACGCGTGTCCACAAGTGACACAGTAGAGACGAAAATGTGGAATAAAGTCATTATTTTTGTTTTCTTTGTGCAAAAAAAGTATTCTCTATTTTACTGTCATGATGAGTGAATATTGTCAAAAAATACCACACTAAATAGTGACTAAACATGTTTACCAGGAGTCACTCTCATTTATAATCGCGGCATTGTCTGATAAAATCAACATGCATCTACACTAAAGAGCGGCTATGCGGTTGTTTTGTCTCATGCAGCGCACTGTCTGCGCAAACTAAAAAAAATAAAAAAAAGGTGCATGTGATATTAACAGACGAACTACGCTCATATTTATAATTTCCAAACAATCAGAAGCGACAGGTGCTAGGAGATGCTGTTGTGTACTCATTTATTGACGAGTCGGCTGCGGTACGCTGCTTTTCTGCCGCTCACTGCACAGAACAGACGCCGAGAGAGGTGACACGTCTCCGGGAAAGTCAGACCTCGCGTTCGTGGGACAGCACTGGCGAAATCTTCCAACTGAACCATAGCTAAGGTTTATCCAAAAAAGTCGCTAGGTTTGTCAGTATGAATATTCTATGGAAAAAAGCAGCTAAAAGGGTCTGAAAGTTGCTAAATCTAGTGCTAAAGTCTCACTCGTGTGTGTGTGTGAGACGTGGGAGCTGATGGCAGGGGGCGGTGGATATTTGTGGCGGTCAGTGTGGATATTGTGGATGAGTTCTTCTGTGTCATCACGTTCTATTAGTTCTACAGTTTTGGAACTTTCACGTTTAGTAACACATACAGCTGTTCCCTCACCACAGTGCAACAGTGAAAAGAGACCCCTTTCAAACAGTGTCGCGTTCCGAACGTTGTTTAAGCGACATACTTAATACATTGTATTGCGGTATTTTAAAAATTCATATCATAACAAAAATAAACACCGATATTCGGTATGAACCGGTATACCACCCAGCACTACCTCAGATTTCATCAAAAATATCTTAAATTGTGTTCCGAAGATGAACGAAGGTCTTACGGGTTTGGAACAACAACGAGAGTGAGTAATGACAGAATTTTCATTTTTGGTTTTGGGTGAACTAACCCTTTCAGTAACAATGTATGAAGTTCACTGCATAAAAAAACCCAAGCAGCATTGCAAACAAACAAGACCTTTTCTCAGAAATAGCATCACTGGTTCTTCACATTAAAGCATCTTTCTTTAAAATAAATGCCACTTTGGTTTCATATTTTGTTACTGAATGTGATTCATACAATTTATACAAGTGTGGCATAAGGGTGCGTTTACTCGACAACATTATACTAAAATGGGAAACGTTTTCGTACAGATAACAACGCTGTCAAAATGATCCCCATTAACATGGATTCACAAAAATGACCAAAAACACTGTATTATGCATGCCAGACCAGTAGTTGGTAAATGTCACTTTGTAAAGAAACACTATGCGCCTGCACACATATATATACTGAACTTGTAATGCACATTTGTGTAGTTTACATGGAGATGATAACAGTATCATTTTCAAAAAATTGCACTTTAAAAAGTTTGCATTTCTAGCCCCCCAAAATGCTGATGTTGTATAAATGAATGACCAAAACGCATACGTTTTCTGGTTTTAGTTGAAAACAGTGTCGTGTAAACAAGCCCCAAGTTTTCAGATACTTTTATGAGAAATACTGATCACCATAATCAGCATTATTTGACCTCAAATGGCAATTACTGTGTACGTATGTTACCAAATAACAACGTGTTACATCCTATTTTTGTTAAATTTTCATAAAGTTTTTACATTTTAAAATCATTAAGTGATTAGTGAGTAAAATTACTTAATTTCACCAATTTCATGTACATCTTTAACCCTGTAAAGTCTGACATAAGAAACAAAAAAATTCTAATTACTTGAACAAAATATGAGAGAAAATTAAGAAAAAAAAATATGCGTTTTGTTTTGTATCACATTTGATACATCAGGCTTTTATGACCCATATAGTTTGATATGAGAATACTTGAAGCTGAAAAAAGTCTCATACTGAACAAAAATGCTATTTGGTGTAGATGTTGTTATATGGCCAAAAAGTAAGATGAAATTATCATAGATTGTAATGTAAATCTACAAGATTTCTATAGTATAGCAGACTACTTGCATAAACTGCATATAAATATCAGCTGTCACTCTACATCTCCCAATAATGTTTTAGTAAGATTATATTTAAATGCTTAGTTTTATGATCAAAGCTCTGTAGTTTTTATTGTGGGGGCAAAATATATAATGTAAAGCAATATAATGATGATTAAGAGATGTACACACACACAAAATCCTTAAAAGCCTCTTGTATCATTTTTGATACTGACTTTTTAACATGATTTTTCCAAAAATGATGTTTGGATATGTAAACCTGATTTATTAAGAAGATTAATTAATCGTATTAACAACAACAACATAATTCCAATTTTTAGGCTACTTTATCAAAATCAGCAAAAACTTATAAAGACCTGAAGTTGGACAGTATTAGAATTATACTAAAAGGCCTTTTACTTACTAAAAGTATATAGTATTAGGGTTGCAAAGGGGTGGAACATTTCTGGTAAATTTCCGGAAGCTTTCCAAAAATCCCTGGAATATTCCAAA